CACGCCTGCGTTTTTGCGACTTCATATTTTTTTTGGCTTTCTGAAATTTATTAATTCTTTTTTTATTTTGTGGAAAACCATTCAATAAACCGTTAAATGTTCCTGGTTTATTACGTCTCACGTGTTCTTCATGAGATTGAGATTGAGATTTAGATGAAAATTCCTTTAGTAATTATTCAATCATGTGCAATTAGATAAGTAAAAATGTTAGTAATGTGAACCCTGCAGCCTTCGAAAGCATCAAAATTAAAACCAATGTTCATACCTCATTATCAGATCCTTCGTACTTTTCATTACGAACATTACGCCTGACTAAAACATTTGTTCTCTGTTTCTCAAGAGAATCGATATCTTCTTGGATGGTTGCTAAACTGTTAAAATCATTCAAATTCTATTGAAATATATGCAAAAAAATATTAATTAGTTAAATTCGGGCAGAGCAATAAATTGAATTAAAAAATTACCTCAAAATCATTTTCAAGTTTCTTTGAACTATTTTTCAATTTCTTAAGCTCATTCTTTGGAATCGGCAACCTAACAAAATTTTCCTCTTCATATCGACTACGTTCAGCGAGCTTTTCTTCTATTCGTTTATCATACATCATTTCAGCGCGCACATTACCGCTTGCATCAAACTCTTCCGGTTTATCATCATATTCTTCGATGAGATCCTTCATTATACGTGACTTTGATGCTCTAGCAATAAGGCATGATTGTTCTTTTTCGCGTGCAGAACGACTTCCTAAATTAACAGATTAGCATGAGAAAAAAAAACCATAAAAAAAATATTTATATAATTTGCATAGGTATGGCTTTTTACCTTCATCGAAATGCATGGGCGCTAATTTTGGCGCCTTATATATCTCAACCTTGTCAACTTTCATATATTGAAAATAAAAAATAGTATTATTATATATTAATAAATATGCTGTACTTGCAAGATTTTTTTGTTTACCTTTTTCGCTCTTATCATCATCAACTTTTGATACAAAGTCTTGCGGATTTGGCTTAAATGATAGTGGATCAGCTATTGTAATATTTTGTAAGATATAAAAAAAAAAGTTCATAGACGTGTTCGACACATAAAAGACGCGTAATATAAAAGAAAATTCTTTTTCATCATACTATTATGAGTAATTAAATTAACATTTTTCTCTGTAATATTTTCAACTGTTGTAGCTCTTATTAATTTATCAATCTGATACTTTAATTTTTGTTCAACAGGTTTAATCTTTTCCAAAACTACTCTTAACTCCACCAGATTTGAAATTGCGGGATGATCGGATATTGATTTTCCATCTAACCTCAGGTGAATTAAGAAAGCTAGGTTCGTAATGTATTCGAGGAGTATATGATATTTAATATCAAGAAGAGATACACCGCAACTAGTCTTCAGTGACTGATTATTAACTCTATTTTGAATAAAATCGTTAATTATTTTTGTATAACTAAAAATATCAATGCAAATTTCAATGTTCTCATTTTCTTAATGAATACTAATCAATTTTAAAAAAGATAAACCATTAAAATGTGATCACTATTCGAAAACATTTAATTTATATTAAAAAATTTTTTCTATATAGAGAAAATTTTTTGAGAACATTAAGGAATTAAAAAAATCTTTACACTGAATATAATGTATATAATATATACAATTGATTTTTCTCACCTGTCTGTTGTAATGGAAATTTGTTCTTTTATTTCTTTAGCTTTAATTTTCAATTCATTTATAAGCTTTAAAAAATCGGGAATTTCATTAGATATATTTTGAAATTTATTTTCCTCGACGACTTCCATTTTGAAGTATCGGAAATTCGTTTTTATTGGTTGAAGTTCATTTTTATAGATAATCTTCATTACACGTGATTGGCTAATATCCTTTTACAGACCGGATCTATAGCGATAGTGCTATTATTATTGGATATTTGTATATTGAACCTAGGCGGCGCTACTCACATGACAGTAAATTTCAGTCAGGCATATTACCAAAAATGGAAATCGATTCTAGATCGTTCCATTGAAATTTGATTGGCTGCTTTTCGCTAAA